TTTCTCCCCGTCTCAGTTTTGGTGGGAGATGGGAAGGTATTAAAAGCTATAATACAATCATTCGCATGCTTAACCGTAGTCTGGAGGAATTGGAAAAGCTTTGTAAAGTTTCCCAAGAGGTTGAAGTGCTCTGATAGGGGTCCGATGCCCGCCCCCCCCCCACACCCCTCCCATCCCCCAACGCAGGGACAGACCATGTGTCACTTTGTCGGGACACTGTCGCAGCCAACTGTAGGTGCTGGGCTTGCAGCCTCCTTACCACGCTGTACATGAGTGACCTTGAAAATGGGCTAAATCTCCTTGGATCGCCACTGTCCTTTCTTTGAAAATAAAAGTAAAAGCAGTCACTGAATCCCTCATCGAGCAGTTTGAGGCTTAATGAGATCACAGTTGGGGGACCGGGCGTTATCGTTTGAAGGGTGTTACTTCTCACTTCAAGCCTGCCAGGCTCTCTCCGTATTTTGCCTATTTCTTTTTGTTAAATTGGTTAGGTAGGCAGATGTTTCTTTTATATAATTGGAGATGCAGGATTTAGAAATGTCACGGAAGTACCTGTTAACCACCTAAATTTAAATCTGGTGAGTTGAGATTAGACATACCAAAGTTTAAGCTTATTTTGTGTACGTAAAAAAAAAAAAAAAAAAAAAAAAAAAAAAAAACATTAATTACATAAACCTATTATAGATACAAAATAAGTTTAAGCTCGTCTCTAACACGTGTCACTGCTCTGTATACATAATATGTAAAACAGATTCAAACCCTATATGTATGTATGTTACAGATACAAATATCCTTGAATAGATTCACAGTACACAATAATGAAACACTACCTAAAAATATCGGTAAGGCCATGGCTTACACAATTTGAAAAAGCCTTTGGTATTTTAGATTAGAAGGTATAAGCAATAGGTAGTAAACATGTGAACGGAGTTAGAAGAATTTAGTTGGTGTGAATAAAGGAAAGCTCTAGGCACAAGTCACTCCAGGCAGCCTGCCTGTTTATCTTGTGGAAGGAGAACTTATCTACAGCCCTCGGAGGAATATGAAGAGAGTGCTGGTTTTGTTGTGTCCCGGTGTGTTTTGTGGTCTGTGCAGCCGGAAGTCGGGGGATTAGGCAGGAAAATGTTAGTTCCTTTACATGAGAGCTAAAGACTGATCTGTGACTAATGTTGAAACGAACCAGATAAACTGGGGTTGGTCCAAGGGGGAAAGCAAATAATAAAGTGAGAAAAACATCTCTGAAACTGGAGCATGATTTTAGAACGTTCCAGGGGCAGCAGCATGGGATGTTTGTCTTATGGAAGGGGATGGGACTCCTGCAAGTGTGTGCCCTGCACAGTAAGATTTTCTCCCTGTCCAAAATGATACCAGTGACCCCACATTTGTGTACTTTGCAAAGCACTTCCCCTGCCGCCATTTCATTTGATCCTGAGGACAATCCTGAGAGTGGCTGTCATCATTTTCAATGGATAGAGGCCATTTAGGCTCAGGCTGTCAAGGGACTGGCTCAAAGGCCCTTATTTGGAAATTGGTGGATAATCACTTCTATCCCACACACCAGGTTGCTTTGAAGGAAGGAAGAAAGGAAGGAAGGAAGAGAAAGAGAGAAAGAAAGAAAGAAAGAAAGAAAGAAAGAAAGAAAGAAAAGAAAAAGAGGGAGGGAGGAAAGGAAGGAAGGAAGGAAGGAAGGAAGGAAGGAAGGAAAGAAGGAAGAAAGAGGGGAGCCTGGGTGGCTCAGTGGGTTAAGCATCTGACTCTTGAATTTAACTCGGGTCATAATCTCACAGTCTGTGAGTTCAAGCCCCGTGTCAGGCT